GAGAGAAGTCCCAAACATTTAAAGGCTGCCAAGTTTAAAAAACACTAGAGTAGTGGTTAAGGCACCAGGCCTGAAACCAGGAGACCTTGAGTTCCAGTCCTGCCTGAGACATAAAGCCAACTGGGTTATCTTGGCCAGTCCTTCTCTTTCAGCCCTGGGAAGAAGCAGGTCAGGGCAACCCACCTCCCAAAACTGCATGAACTTCTCCAGGCAGTTGCCAGGAGTCAACGCTGACCTGAAGGCACACACAACCCCCCCCTCCAATTGAACAACCCTCCCCAGATTTAGCTTTTTTCCTTCTTCTTTAGCTCACGTTTTTAATTTCTTTTGTTTAATGGTTCTTTCTCCTGTAAACTCACAGTAACACCCTTCCTTCAGCACAGTGACAGGGTAGACACTACAAACTCCCTGTGGGTCATTGTCTCTGCCCACAAGAGGTAGAATCCATAGCACATATAAAACCTGCGAGGGAAAAAGCAAAAAAGAAATAAGATTTTGATGTAAACTCATATAAAACGAGTTTACATCAAAATCGTATTTCTCCATTTCTAGCAGCAATCCCCGGACAGGCCAACAGTTTTTGTGCTGATTTTCAGATGTTTTATGCAGCCAACGGTGTTGCTGAGTTTTGCTACTTAGCATCAAGGCTTCAGCAGAGGAGGCACAGTAAGATTTAAAATGGATTGGTCTATATGCTTATTTCTGTATCTTTATTTTGACTCTGTTCCTTCCTTATGTTTCTGTTTTATTTGTAGCTGAAGGCCATAAGAAATAAAATGGAATATCATTTCTTACTCCTTTTCTGCACTTTGGACAATGCCCCTAAACTCAGAAGGGAATAATGTGATGTAATGGCAGCTCTGTATGCTTTAAAAGAAAGACAAGACCACAGGGTAATCACAAAATTATCTGACTGTTTTGATATAATAAAAAATGTAATTTCTCAGAGAGGGACACCCATAAATCTGGATAAATGATAGAAATAGATATAATTCTTATTCTGAAACCAACATACTAGGAAAACAACATTTCAACCAGAGGGGTTACCACCCAACCTGGAGGAGAATCTTATCTAGGTTTTTGTCTCACAGTGGGATGACACCAATGCCCACATTTGCACAATTGAGTTTTCTCACTTTGAATGACATCATCATCATCGTCGTTGTCATCCAATTATTTAAAAATAAAGACTTCCTCAAGTCAATCTTGACTCCTGGTAACTTCAGGGACCTACCAAAGTTATTTTTTGTTGCAATACAGAAGTGGTTTGCCACTGCCTTCTTCCAGAATGTTTTATGTCTATAGCCCAGGAAAGTCTCTAACTAATGCCCAGGGTCTCCCATTTAAATATGAACCAGCTCCAACCCTGCTTAGCTTTTTCAAGAACAACCAAGATCAGCTAGGTGTTATCCCCAGCAGTAAAGGAAGCAGCTTGAGACCTGTACAGTAGGACACACATTTCCAAAGGTAGAAAAATCAACATCAGCCATCCAAGAAGCAAATAATCAACAGCAAATGATCTTCTCCTGTTCTCTAAGGCAGCTCTCCTTAGTGGGTTGCTTGGGGAACTCTAAGGGTTGAGTCCTGGGGAAGACAGGTCTGAGGTTTGAAATCAGGTTGATCCTCAGCCATCTGTTGGAGGGGCTGTAGCCAGAACTCTCTTTCAAATCATATTCCTAATAGGGCTGTGCAAATCCTTTGAAAAGAGCCGGCTTGGGGCAGGGGTTAAAGGCATCAGCCTAGAAATGGGGAAGTTGGGAGTTCTAGTCTCACCTTAGGCATGAAGCCAGTTGGGTGACTTTGGGCCAGTCCCTCTCTCTCGGCCCCAGGAAGAAGGAGGCAACGGCAAATTCTGAGAAATGTTACCAGGAGTCAAGGCTGACTTAAAGGTGCACACACACACAAAATCCTTAGGAAGAGATGCTTCAGAATGCCCAAACCACCCCTTTTTAAATCGCTAGAGCAGCCCAAACTTTTTCTAGCCTTGCACAGCTGCTTTGGAAACTGTTCCCAGCTGTCTCTGCATCTGTGTGCAGGTAATGCAATTTCCATTCACTGAGAAAAAGGGTGTCTGCACAATCTGGGCTTCTAAGGCAGTATTTCTCAACCTTGGGAACTTTAAGATGTGTGGACTTCAACTCCCAGAATTCCCCAGCCAGGAACGGTGTTTCTCAACCTTGGGAACTTTAAGATGTGTGGACTTCAACTCCCAGAATTCCCCAGCCAGGAACGGTGTTTCTCAACCTTGGGAACTTTAAGATGTGTGGACTTCAACTCCCAGAATTCCCCAGCCAGGAACGGTGTTTCTCAACCTTGGGAACTTTAAGATGTGTGGACTTCAACTCCCAGAATTCCCCAGCCAGCCAAGTCCACACATCTTAAAGTTCCCAAGGTTGAGAAACACCGTTCTAAAGAGTGATTGTGCAGTGGTGCAATCCCACTACTGGGATCTTAAGTGTGAAATTCTCTTCTGTGCGAGAATTTGTAATCCATTTGTAATAAGTCTCTGGATCGGCAGAATCCGTTTCTTCCTGTGTGCCCCCAGGAT